GGGGTTTCACCATGTTGCCCAGGATGTTCTCAATCTCCTGACCTCATGATCCACCTGCCTTGGCCTCCCAAAGTGTTGGGATTACAGGCATGAGCCACCACGCCTGGCCTTCTCTCTCTTTATGTATTTTACTTGTTATAGAGCTGGAGTCTCACTGTGTTTCTCTGGCTGGTCTGGAACTCGTAGGCTCAAGCAGCTCTCCCACCTTGGCCTCCCAACATGCTGGGATTATAGGCATGAGCCACTGCGTCAGGCCTTGAGTTCCTTTCTCAGCACCACTATGTACTCTTCCTTGACACTGAGAGTAAAAGGGTGGTTCGGTTCTGCTCTATTAACAAACTGAAACAGCCAACTGGAGGTTACCAGAAAGAAAAATAGGTTTCAGCAGTTGGCAGCATACTAGCCTCTGGCTGAAGAAGGCTAAAAGCAAAGTGCCTCACTTAAGCCAAGCTTGGTCATATCCTTATCCTAGTTCCTGTGGCTAGATCATAAAGCAGTAAAGCTGTGAACAGGGGGATTCCTTCTCAACCCCAGGCAAGTATTTTTTCAAAGCTGTCCTATTGAGATGATACCATCTTTCTTATTCTTAGTAGTTTTCAGAGGACTCCAGCTGTACCAGCCAAGGGCATGATGACCTTTGCTGAGCCACCTCCTACAGCCATGGCTACAGTATTTTGTTACCTCAGCAAAAGGAAAGAAAGGATATACAATTTAAGGGTGTTGTGAACCAGCCTTTGTGCACTTATGCAGTTTCCATAGTATAAGAATGTATAGATGGGAGGAGGAACTATATCAGATCTTTCATGTTCCTCACAGCCTCCTCATCCCCACAGTGTGGGTGTGAAGTGGTTTACATGTACTGGGCCTTACTTCTCTTTCCTATACTAGTCCTTTTCCTGCCTGTAGTTTTAGCAGTACCAGATCTAAACACTCTTCAAATTGGCACTTGCTTGATAATGGTTTCAACTGGCTCTGTATTATACTTTTGCCTGAAATTCTGTTGAGAGAAGATACCGTGGTCTTGTGAAAATGGTTCCAGGATGATGGGTGTTAGTTACACTTGTGCTTTCTTTGGCTCTTCGAGCCCCAGAACTCAGAATTAAGTGTTTAGGGTTTTTGTTTTCTGTCCATCCCAGACTTCAATGTGGAAAAATTTGAAGACATCATTTTCTGTAGCAGCAGTTTCCAAATTTTGCTGCACATTAGAGTTTGGAGGTGGGAATTTTTAAAATCCCAGTTCCCAGATTTCACCCAATTAAATTGGATCACATTAACTGTGGGTGGGAGCCAGGTGTGAGTATTTTTTAAAGGATCTCCTGAGGCTTTGAACTTTTTTTTTTTTTTTT